CTTCTTCGAAGAAGATGAAGAAGAACAGATGGATAAAGAGATTTCCTCTATTACATCAAACGGCTAACTATTAAGAGATAATCACGTGTAATTCTCAAGAGATGCGTTACCCCCAATCAGTTTCTCTTCTGATAGAAGCAAGCAACTAGTCACTATGAACCCAAATAAGGACGAGATGGCATCTAGCGAGAAAATACACTTTCAGTGCGACTATTTATTTATCTATATATCTATTTTGTCTCGAACGCCTCAAGTTATACCCGATAGAAAAATCAAAACTCAAGAAACAACACATGGGCTAATTAATTTCCTCCCTACCAAAACGAGAAAAAGAAATCAACGATTAAACGAACTAAACTATATCAGTCTCCTATAATAATAACAAACAAATGGAGATACTCGACGATTCAAAACACATAGTTGACACATAATTAACCGCATGATTACGTTGTTAAAACAAAAAAAAGAGGAAACTTCCCTTCTCGACCTGTTCGAATTTATCTGAAAGCGAGTAGAATCTGGGATTGTCCTTTTGAATGCGGATGCAACCAAACTGAAGAAAGCCCCGAACAATAAAAAAAAACAAACTTGTTCAATTACCAAGTGCTTTCTATTTGTCTCAAGAGAATAAAATACTCTATTTACTGTCTTCATCTAATCAAATTTTTCTTTTTCTCAGAAGAAAAAAATCTCAGACGAAAATATTTTCTTTTCAAATGAAAATTGGCATCTGTAGTAATTAACTAGTTTGATGAACGTCTCCTAATGTTCTCTTACTTTTCCTGTTTCTACTCATAATCATACGTCATTCGACTTGAAAATCCTTTCGCTTCTTTTTTTTTTTAGTAAAAAAAGATTTTTTCTTAATACATTTGTTATACAAAGAAGATTTAAATTAATCGAAAGAAAGAGAAAAAAAAACATTTCGCAATAGAAAAACTTCATTATTTATTAAAAAACTCACCCGATAAATCTACGCTTTCATTACACTTGGCTAATCAGCACAAAAGAAGATTCTCTCACACGTACCTTTTCTGCTTTTTAGTCTCTCTTATCACAACAAATACAATCTGATAGGCACACAAGTTACCCATAATGTTGATTTATCTCTTCCCGATTTTCTCTTCTCCGTCGTAATGTCAATTACATCTAATGATATTACACAATGTACATGAAGAGGATAATTCGAATAAGGAAGAACGAAGAGAAAGATTACCATTGAGATTTTGTCACATATACAGAAATTTTCCATTAACTAACTAGTGTCACTCTTCTTTATCTACTTCAAGTCAACCCCTTCCAGCCTTTCTTTATCGAACGTTTCTCATTCATCACATCTTAATCTTCAAAGTTATTTCATATCTTTAATCGGAATTATTGACAAAAAGATCATCGAAGAAATTCTACTCTATGATCATTTACTTTTGATTGATATACAGGAATCAAAGAATCTTTTTCCGATAAACGGATATAAAGAAAAACATCAACAAATAATAATTCTTTTCTTTTCGACTCGTAAGACGCTGAACAAGGAAACTCACGACAAAAAAAAACTTGTCATTGATCGAGTAGTCGGAATATCTCTCCCTTCTTATTCATATTATCTGTCAAAATGAAGGATATGGAAGTCTGAAGTTGTATTAATATTGTTATTATTGAAGATTTTCTTCTTTGCAAAACAAAACGCGTAAAAACAACAAAGAAATCCGGATCTCAATTTCGTCTTTTCTTCTTCTCCTGTATTTAGAATAATATTTGCTTTCCTTATTCATTCGTTTATCTTCAATCTGAGTTGAAAAGACTTTCTAAAGCAGCGCTCTCTTCATGTGTTTACATATCTCGAGACATAGCAATGCCTTGACATTCTATCAGACAAGTAGAAAGGAGAAAAAAAAACGAAAGATTCTATCAACATTATTCGAATTCTGACATATCTGATTTATGTCTTTATGGAAGATTATGATTTAATAAGAAATATTTGCTTTTGAAAATCCCGAGAGATTCCACGATGAATTTAAATATGCAAGGCAATAAAGAAAAGGAAACTGAACGATTTTGTTTCAGTATCTATACCGTGGAAAGGCATTTATGCAAATGCGATTGCATTCATCGATCCAGTTTCGACAAGGAAGAGGAAAAGGATTGAAAATTAGATTCAGAATTAAGCATCGCTGTGAATCTTTTGTGCAATCATTCAAAAGGAAACGTAAACGACGTAACATACATATAAAAAGTTTGTCAATGGTGCGGAGCTTAACTGAAAATGAAAGAATGGATTTGTAGAAGAGAGAATCTTTCCTAGACAGACATATTAGTCGGATAAAATAACAGGGAAAATGTATTAACTCGCTTTTCTTCGATCTATTTACCAGTACAGGTCAGAGCTATGAAAAAAAAGACAATCTGACAATTGATAAAGAATATCGATTCTCAATAGACTCGACATTAGTTTTTCAAGAAAGATATGTATGTTTCCTTTCGGTTGACAAATCGATCTCGTTGATCTCCTTCTAGGATATAAAAGAGAGAGAGAGGGAGAGAAGAAAGGAAGTTTTCTATCTGAATGTGAATACTTACGAAACAATCGCTGTCGTTATTGCATCCTATTGTCGATAAAAGTTCGCGTGTCTGTCTTATGTTTTCTCTTCATTCAATGAGGCATGAGCAACACATTTCCATATCGAAGCTTGCCAGTCAAGAGTATTATAGAAAGAAAACGCTATTTGCCCGAAATCAACTTAATGATGACATTCGATGGAATAGAATGATAAAAAAAAAAGAAGAGCAAAAGAGAATATCTTTCTCGAATCATTTTCACGGCTAATTATCTCATATGTAGAGAAGAAAGAAAAGCATCCGCAGATCTGATTAACAATTAGTTGAAGGATTGATGAAGTAACGAATTCTTCTGGTTAACGATGCATTGATTTGCGTCGAAATCAACTAACAAGAACTTATGATGTGAAGTCAGACGAAAGTCTATTCGATATTGTTGATCAAATTTCTTTCCATATCAATATCACTTCCGTTGACAAACGTTATCAGATCGTGTATTTACTCCTATAGATTCATTTCATACTTGTCTGTAGTTCTTCGAGTAAATCTCTCCAGAGAGACATTGACTTACCTTTGAAGATGTGGATAAATCTGTTTATATATCATCGTTTCGATTGAATAAATAAAGAAATTTCATTCTATGATAATAGTATCAATACGTGTGGAAGAATTCGAAACGATACTCAGATGTCTACCATATCATTGTTTGGTGCGATGAGAAAGACAAATAAACAATTAATAAACTAGATGAGGAAAGAGAGAGAGAGAGAGAAAATCTTTTTTATTAGTCGACTTGTCGATTATTATACGCTAACGTTATAGATTAAATTTTTACAGGCAACAAATCTTTAATCTCGCGCAATTTAATTACTAAACTTCGATGTCACTGATAATAAGACGATGTATTAAATGTCGACTACACTCGATTACCTGATTAGTTGTTAGTAATTAATTTATTTAAGTAAAACATGTCATACAGTGAATGAAACCGACAGATTGCTTTTTGTACTTAAACTGTCTGGCAAGATCATGTTGTTCGACTGATGTGAAACATAAAACCGAAATTGAATTATCTAATATTTCTCGACGTGATCAACTTATATCTTTTAACAGTCGAAACACATTTTCTCTTCAATCATTCAACATCCAAACCTCACAGACATGTGGGCGATACACATAACACACATTTCAATGTCATCATACCTTCTACTCTTAATCATTTCTTTCCATCGCGTGCTCTTACACGTAAGACTTATGTCATTAATTATCAAATCTAACTAATCGAACTTACTAATAAAACAATCTCTAAAAATAAATTTTGTGAAGGCGATCGAGCAAATTAAAGAGGAAATCTTCGGTCTACGGAAGATAAAAGATCTTCATATTTAATCATTCATGTCAGATATAATCAAGTGAACAATCTCTCAATTGCAAACATTCGTTAATAACCATCGATTTTCTTCGTCATAAAGCATACTAATGAAATTCAATCAATCAAATTATGAAGAAGATTTGTCATCTAATTAATTTTGCTTTCTTCTGTCGGAGATTTTCAAGAGCGAAGAGACGAAAAGGACGCGAACAATAATCATATCAACGATGACTCTTTTTTTTGTAATTTCTTGTAAAAGGATTTGTTTCATTTTAAATATTTCAATCCCATCGTCTATCACTGATAACATCATAGTTTAAATATAAATATTGACACATAAACTCAATAGAGAAAAACCTGACGAAGAAACCCACATGAATCCGCCCACCATTGTATTGCGTAAATGAAAATTGGCTAACTCATTTAAGTAATACGATCCGAGAATTCAATTAAGAGAGCAAAAGTCAATAATTCACGTTTGCCTTTATTACCTTAACAATAAATTTTCTTCGGTAAATGTCACGTGAAGCACATATGAATTTATCTTTTTTTTTTTGACAAGACTTCTGGTATCATCTAACGATTATTATCTTGATTTTTTTCCAGTCTCGATTGTCTTCGTGATCAACTTCAAATGTACAGCTGTTTCTCCGCTGAATGAAAAAACAAAATCACATTTATTGTATACAAGTGTAGACATCGAGTTAGGGAGAAGAAGAAGAAAAAAGTACGAAGGGCAATAAGAAGACCAAACTATTCGTTCTATCACAATTATTAACCAATCGAACGAACAAATGTCTATACAATACGTGTGTATGAAACGAAATAGAAAGCGAAGGAAAATGAGAGTGAGAAGGGAGAAAACCGAAAGACGAGAGAAAAATGAAGAACGCGTTGGTGTACTATATTGTTGTATGGCGTTTTTTTTTGTTTGTCTTCAAACAGCAGTACTAGACATAAGTTTCAATCAGATTTGATTTTCAAACACAGGTGATCAAATTGACAAGACGACGAAGACTGATAAGATTATATCTTTCCTTCGTCTTATTTTTATGTCCTTTTTAGATAAATTATGCATTCGTCCGATGATGATAACAACAATAATTCTCTTCGCAATGTCCTTTTTGATGCTGCTGTACAATTAAGTGTACCGACAGTGACATCAACAGCTTCAGCAGCAACAAAATTGCGCGCAAACTCGGCCACAGCAGAAACACTCTTAATTCCTTCACGGTCACGGTCTACTTCAAGTAAATCAAGATGTAGTCTGTCATCGAAGTCGACCTATTTTCGTCGGAATACAGCTCAGAAAAGCGCCAAAGTTGTACGCGATGTTGCAACACAATCGTCACCCATTTTAACTGTCGAAAAGGGCGCAAATGAACAATCAGATTTAATCTTAGATAGTAATAACAATCCGACGAAAACTTCATCTATATCGAGTACATCGAAAGAGTATTTGTCTGTTCCACGCGATGAACATCGTCGATCATCGCCAAGTTCTTCTCCTACACGACACAAACAATCGTTTAAACATACCTTACTTGGACTTTGGCAAGGTTTAAATAATGACGAAGTTCGTTCAGCGGCTTCATCACCAATCGACTCGAAAAATTTTGATGATCGCGTTCGAATTGTAAGAAGCAGTTCCTCAACAAAATCTTTTCTCCAAAAACCTTCTCTGTAGAGTTCGCCACGATGGAAAGCGTTTTCTAAAGTCGTTACTTCTCTACTAACATTTACTAGAACAAAAAAAGGACGATATGAATGGATTCAATTAGTTGGTCATCCAGGTAAGAAACGTTTTTACGTATAAATTTTTCGACTATGGTGTTCGGTTATTTTGAAAAGGAACGTTTAAGGAAGGTTTTCATGATGGTTATATTCTTAAAGAGTTATGTGAATACGAACGATATTGTTGTGAAGTACTTCAGAGTGATCGTTTAAAACATTTTGTTCCCAAATACAATGGAACTGTTAAAGACGAAGAAGGAAAATGTAAGAAGAACGAAATCGATACAAATCGTTCCATTGTTTCATTTACCTTTCAGCTTATATTGAAATTGAAGATTTATTAGCACCGTTTAATGATCCATGTATCATGGATTGTAAAATTGGCGTGCGAACTTATCTGGAAGAGGATTTAGAAAAATCAGAACGCGATCCTGTACCGAGAGCTGTAAGATAAACATGATATATTTTTCCATTTGAATAATTGTGTTTAGGATTTGTATGAAAAAATGATTGCAATCGATTCAAGTGCGCCAACTGAAGAAGAACATGACGAGAAGAAAATTCTGAAACCACGTTATATGATCTGGCGTGAAACATTGAGTTCCAGTCAAGAATTAGGCTTTCGTATCGAAGCAATCAAAGTAGATACAAATTTATTTCGTTATTTCTCGCTCATTTCATGTATATAGAAATCTCGTGGATTGATGTCCAAGGAATTCCAGCGAATAAAATATCGCGAAGACGTACGAAAGCAAATAATGGAATTTCTCGCCAATTCGGTCCCACGCGCTGTAAGAACAGCCAAACATTCTGCTTTTATTCTCATTCATAATCCATTTTAGACTCGATATCTGAATCGTTTACTCGAACTACGTTCGACATGTCTTCGTTCGAAATTCTTCGAAACACATGAGGTTTGTTGTTCATATATACATTCCATTGACCTTTCTTCTCCTTTGAAAAGTTAATTGGTTCATCGTTATTATTTGTTCATGATGCCAATCGTGCTTCATTATGGATGATCGATTTCGGTAAAACGCGAAAATTATCTTCCGACATTCACATCACTCATTCTCAAGCGTGGCAACGTGGTACACATGAAGATGGTTATCTAATTGGTATAGATAATCTCATATTACTTTTCCAAGACATTATTGATGAATTGACATCAGGTTCTGTTTCGAATTAGAATTCGATCGAGACGTTTTTTCGGTTTTCTTCCTGTTTGTATATAGAAAAAGAATTTTTTTTTTGTATATGACTTTATCTGGTGATAACGATTCGAATATGAACGTTCTTTTATTCCTACAGGAAGAAAACTTCTTCAGAGGAAAACTTGTCTTTTTCTCCTTCGATTCATTCTAATGAATGAGTCAGTCTCTCTGTTTTTGTGTTTGTTCAATTAATATTATTTTTGAGATAACTTTTAACAAGACTGATAAAAGAAAAAAATCACGCACACTCTATCTTGTCTATCGTTTTTGGTCATCAAATACATTTTTTTATGTCGAAATATTATCCTTACTCATGCAGAAAAAAAGTCATTTATTGAATAAACAATTGATGATTGCTTCGAATGAAAGGAGATACTTGGATGTCATTAATGTGTTTTGTGACAAGTCGAAACAGAGAAAAAAAGGTTATTATACGTTTATTTTGCTTTCGATCAATAATGACGTTTGTGGTCTAATCATAACACCTCAAAATATTTATTCTATTGATAAAACAAATGCGAAATCTGAAATAATATTGTTTATCTAACGAATAATTCAGCAGAAAATAACGAATGACGAACGGGAATGTTCTACGATAATTAGGATTAAGCAAATATTGGTTTTTAGTGAATCATTGTCGACGTAATCATGATTTTTTCTTATGACGAAATACTTTTGTCATTGAAAAACAAAGATACGAATAGACAATCCAGTAAAATCACGAGAAAGTGTTTTGCCGTTATAAAACGTAACAAAAATGCACTAATGCAGAGAACATTAACATAGTTCCTGCGTAAAAAGAGGTCATAAAGTGAACTTTTTTCGATTCGGAGAAAGAATGAAAAGTGATTGATGATTTACTATTGATATCGAACGGTACTTTTGAAAAACAAGTTTTGAATTGTTTTACACTTGTAAATCTTTATTAAATATTGACGTTTAGTTTGCAAGATGAAGATTCTCGACTGATAAGTGAGTTGTTTCGTTTTTTTTTTATGAAGACCTTCACATTGCACATAAACTTGTTTCGCGTCTTTGCCTTGAGAAGATTAAAAGACGCGAAAATCGCGATGCGCACAATGCCATTTCATGGATAACTTCCAATAACATTTCACCAGATCGGCATTTGAAACAATGTTTTGGCGAGAAAGGCGTGTAATTGTTTCATTTAACATACTCTATCATTGATTATTATCATCTTATGTCTTTGTAAAGTCCTTTTTGCCAAATCGAAAGCATGTTTCGGACATTTTTATTTTACTTCCTATTCTTTTTCTTCTCGTTTATACAACTTTCAAATTTACAAACAGTTTCGCCATTAGAACATGAATGGGATTATGCTCGAGAAGGACCGGATACTTGGCTTCATCGGTATGAATCGTGTGAAGGTGACGCTCAATCTCCAATCAACATCCGAACATCACAGGTGAAGTTCGATCCAAAACTCACTTCACCGTTAGTTTTCAATGGTTACAATACGAATTCAACTTTATTAGTTTGGAATTTTACTCATAATGGACATACAATCGTTGCGTATCCACCACCGTTAGCTCGTTTATCAATGAGTGGAGGTGGTTTGCTAACTGAATACTATTTAATACAGTTTCATTTCCATTGGGGTTACAACGCTTTCCAAGGCTCGGAACATACAATTAATGAGCAAAAATTTCCACTTGAAGTTCATTTTGTACATCGAGCAGCATTTACAAATTCTTATGCTGTTCTCGGTATTCTGTTCGAGCGTCAAAGGGATGATAATCCATATTTATATGAGTTACTCTCGATTCTTAATCGAACTGTGAACAGTTCGGTTGCAATTGAACAACAACTGAATTTGTCTCGCATCATTCCAACAGCATCGCCACCGAAGTTTTATCGTTACAATGGTTCACTTACAACTCCACCATGTACAGAAGGTGTTATATGGACGATACTGAAACGACCGGTGTCAATTTCTGAATATCAACTTCGTGCATTGCTGAGTAATGCTATTCCATTTAATTTCCGACCGCCACAAAAATTACATTCCCGAAAAGTTTACGCGAATTTTCAAGGAGACGATCATGAAGGTGCTGAAGAAGGAGAAGGTGAAGGTCATGGCGGACATCATTCTTCAGCATCAGCATGCATCGGTGAATTTGTTCTCATATTTATCAGTCTACTAGTTTATTTTTTTCGGATACAGTAACAAATTTTTCAAACGTAATTCAGGTTTACAATTCCAGATACGTTCAAATATTGATTTTTCTAGAATAATTTTCTATCCCAATTAGTATGTAGCTTTGTGAAATCTTGATAAATATCAATAGTCGTGCTCCATTTTTGTTCTGAATAAAATCGATTGCAGAATAGACGAAGAGTTCTATTGTATTATTTCTTGTAATAAGTCACAAAAGTGCAAATGTCAATAACACTCTTGTCTGATCTCGCTTGATGCTATTGATAAAGATCTGTATTATAATGTCCTTTAAGTGATAATTACTCTTGAAAGTTCTCGATTCTTCGTTTTTGATTCCAGGAAAATAAACACGAATGTTTTCTTGTTTTGTAATACTTTGTGACAGGCGCATCAGTAGCATCTGTTCGGTTGTTCTCGTACCTCGATATTATCGAGGCTTCGCTATTTCATCTGGCAATTACAATTTTGTCGTTAGTTTCAATCGCCTGGTTATTTAGGGATATTGGCCTCGACCTTTTCGATTGAAACGTGTGTAGCCAGATACATTTAACATTAACACTTCTATATTTGTCTCATCTCTGCTTATCCGACTTTCTTTTTCTCTCTCTCTCTCCCTCTTGTCTCTCCAACGGAACGTCCTTTCAGTCTGCTATATCATTTACTCCGTCTGACGAACACAGGATACACTGACTTTTCTCGGTCGTTAAAAAGGCAATCATGCGAGTGTTGACAATTTCCTTAATGATTATTTCACTAGTCAATACGGCACCATCGCCACCAAGTACTAATGGAACAGGTATGTACAAGGAGAAGGAACAATGATAAGTGTATTGAATCAATGGTTTAGGTGCTGGTCTAGTTGCGAATGTCAAAGTTAGCGACGAGCCGACATGTAAAATGGATGATGGGCGAAGTGAGTAGATGACATTGTTCAAATAATAATTCTTCACCATTTCGATTTCGTAGTTGAAATTCCTCTCAACGGAAAAATTCGTTTGGGTACCAATCCTTGCAAAGGTAAAGATTTTCTTCATTTGTTTTTCAAAGCAACTTTGAATCATCATTCCAGTCTGTACTTGTACAATAACTGGGTTTCAATGCGAAGATCAATGTGAGACTATCCCAGCATCAACATCCATTGGTACTCCTGGAGGTAAGCGAAGACAAATCCTATTTTTCTTTAATTACCAGTTGATTAGAAGGCGCACCAGCGAGTTCTTCTTCAGTAGCACCTGACCAAATAATCATTTCTCCATCTCCTTCGCCTTCTCCTATACCAAACACGAATACAAATGTCTCGACGAGTTCAACTCCTACGACACCATTGAGTGGAAATACGGAAGATGATTTAACGTCGATTATTGCAGGTGGCCCATGCTCACGCTTGGCAGCAAACGCTCTAGCAGCAGCACGCGAATACGCCTTCGTTGACTGCAGCGAAGCTTATTTAGCTGGCAAGCGTACAAATGGCATCTATGAAATTTGGTAAGAGCAAACAAACGAAATTCATTGGACGCTTTTTCTCTATCTCTCAAAAGGCCTCGAACAAGTCCAAAACCGTTTCGAGTATACTGCGACATGGAGACAGATGGCGGCGGATGGACAGTCATTCAACGCCGTGATGGTTACAGCCAACAATCGAATTTTTTCGTTTCGTGGTTATCGTACAAACGTGGCTTTGGCGATTTAACTCGAGACTTTTGGCTTGGAAATGAAAAAATTCATGCATTGACGAGCCAAGATGAATATCGTCTTTACATAAATTTAGAAGATTTCAATGATCAATCTCGTTTTGTTATTTATGAATGGTTTTTCATAACAAATGAACAAACAAAATATACATTAAATTTAGGTCGTTATATGCCGTCGTCAACGGGTGGAGATTCTTTATATTACAATCGTGGAATGCGGTTCACTACACGTGATCAAGATAATGATCAATCAATGTCCGGTCAATGTGCTGAAAATTATAAAAGTGGCTGGTGGCATGCTGGATGCACATTAGCCAATCTGAATGGACTTTACTTACGTGGAAATGATTCGACAGCAACAGGAATCTTTTGGAATAATTGGTTAGGTGCAAAATATTCACTGAAATCATGCGCAATTAAAGTTCGACCGACAAGTTTCAACAGCGAAATGCTCTCGTAAAAGAACCGAAACCGATTTTTCCCATTTGTTTGTTTGAGGTTTTGTATATTGTTGCATATTATTCTTCGAATGACAATAAAGAGAAATACAATTGCGAGAATTATAGTTTGAAAAGATAATCAGTACAACATATTCGACTACCGTTTTCATAGAACTCTTGGTAGGTTCCGGGAGTTAAAATGAAACAAAAGTTTTTAAATTAAACAAGAATCGTTCAAAAATTGACCTTAGGTTTATTTGTTATCACGTAAAAAAGTATGATCAACGCGATCTATTATTTATGTCTAATCAAAATCCGTCATTTACAGCCGTTGAGCATATATAAAGCCAAGTCGTATCGAGATAGAGGAATATCGATTAGTGTTCGAATCAATCATACGATAATTGAGCATTTTGTAAACTCCATCTGATTGATTCATATGCAGTTTGATCTCTTTGACTTGTTAAATTTCCTGTATGTCGATCAGTAACTGTTGCCGTTACGCAACAGATTTTCTTTTAATATTTCTTTGTAAAATAAACCAACAATACCAATAATCAATGTGAAGCTAACACGATGAAGCGGCGTGTTAGCTGAAAACTTTTTCGCGAAATAAGTCCCGTTCACCAAGATGAACGTGTGAAAAGTCAATCGGACTACGATGTGTTTTAACTTAGCCTATAGACTTCATGTCTTCATATTAATGTTCCTTGTTTTTCTGCATACAGAACTTGAAGATCGATTCCCGTAGTAAAACGACGTCGCGCTACTCGCGACTCCAATTGGTTAATTTCCTAACTGATGATGACTCATCTCATCGTTGTGGCGCTCGCTTGCTAGAAAAACGAATATTTTCATTTGATCGATAAATATATATATATATAGAAATATCTGTGTATATTTCTCCGGTGATTTAATACACCGTTGATTAGACAGTTTGAAAATGGTATTCGAAAATCTCGTTGTGTACCTACTGGACAAATATCTGGGAGATTACATTGAAAATCTAGATACAAAGAAACTTAAAATTGATTTATGGAGCGGTAAAAATAGAACCACAATCGATTTTCCATCGAATACATTTGGTATTTTTAGGAAATGTGGTCCTCGAAAATCTTTATCTAAAATCTAATGCACTAGTATGTAAATTTCTTTCCAAATCTCATGAATTAACTCGATTTTTAATAGGCCGATCTGAATCTGCCAGTGACTATATCAATTGGGTACTTACGTATGTTAATGTGATGAATTTTGTGATGAAAAAAAAAAGAGTTTCGCTTTAGAAAAATTAACATTACAAGTTCCATGGAAGAATTTATATACACATCCAACAAAAGCAACGATTGATGGATTGTTTTTACTAGTTGTTCCGAAGACAGGTTTGTAGATAACTGTGGTGTTGGGACTGTTATGATTTGGAAGCTTTTCAGAGGTGGAATATGATGCGAAACGCGATGAAAGAGAACAACACGAAGCGAAAATGAAAGAAGTTCGTAAGGTCGAAGAGCTTCGAAAAGAAAAGGAAGCTGAAAGTAAGCAAAGATTAGTTCTGTACGAATTGATACGCATCAATTTTGATTTAGAAAATGCCAAGGAGACCGATAAAAATAACGATACATTTGTCGAGAGAATGCAACTTCAAGTTATTCGAAATTTAGAATTATCTATTCGAAATATTCATATCGTCTATGAAGATAAAACAACCAAACCAAATCATCCATTTGCATTTGGAATTACTCTCAACTACATTTCACTTCATGTAATCCTGATTAAAAAGATTCAAATTCTCGATCAATTCTGTTTTATTTCTCATAGACAACAACACCGGACTGGGAACCCACAATACTCAAGGAAGATACACCATTGATTCACAAGGTAAATGCTACTAAAGACTGAATTTTGTATTCAAATGTTGTGTTTTAGCTGGGTGAATTAAGTGCCTTGTCGATTTATTGGAATACAAATGTGAAATCGCGTTCTGACTTGCCACGACAAGAGGCGATTGTATGTAAACTATTTGATTATCTCTTTGTATTTATTTTTTCGTTTAGAATAATCTACGCGAAAGAATCGCAAGTGACAATCAGTTAGTTCCATCTGATATTGCTTACAGTAAATTGTTCTTGCGTGTTTTTGGCTTCGTATAACGTTCATTTTTAGTTCTTCGCCCATTGAACGTCAAAGCAAGACTTATCTTAACAATGAAACCGCGTCAGGAAGATTTCAAACGGCCCATGTTTGATATCAAAGTCGATCTGGACGAAATTAGTCTGAACATGAATCGCGATCAGGTAGAATTTCTTTAGAAGATCATGGAAATCATTGAATTTTTGTAGTATTCCGATATACTTGATCTACTGGAATTGCAAGATTATCTGAGCATTCAGTCGAAATATATAAAATATCATAGAAAGCAGGAACGCGAAGAGAAACCAAGCGTGAAAAGGTACGAATGCCTGATGTTTTCCAATGATTCACCGCGATGTACATATTTTCAGATGGAAATTTGCGTATGAAGCAATTGTAAATGAAGAAGTTCGGCCAAGATTTGAATGTTACAAATGGGAAAACATCAAAGCACATCTAGACCGCTGCCGGGAGTATCGCACGATTCATTTACAAGAACTAACTGGAAAATTAACCAATGAGCAAAAGCAGCGCGCAGAAGTAAATGAAAACTGAGTTGAAATTCAGCGACCCGTGAATTCTTCTCGTAGGAACTGGAAAAGAAACTTGATGTGTTTAATTTAACATACATTCGTCGGAGTGCGGAAATCGAAGCGAGAAAGAAGAAAGAACAGGAACCGAAAACATGGTGGGGAAGTGTATCGAATTGGTGGGGTGGAAATAAACCTCAAGATGATCCAGGTGAGATCTTTGGAGTTTCAATAAGTTTTCAACTTCTCTTTCGTCAATTTAGAATTGGACTTAGAAAAAGTCATGTCACCAGAAGAGAAAAACAAATTATTCGAAGCGATTGGTTATGCTGGAGAAGATACATCCACATCAACATATCCTGAAGAAGTTTGTTCATTTGATTTCTCCTGTAAACACGACTACTTTCTCATGTTTCTTTCAGTACGTTGATATCGATTTGGCTATTCGATTAAAGATGCTCGACGTTAGCATTTGGTCGAAAATTCAAGAAAACGATGCTCAGTATGATGATCTTCATGAAAATTCTCTCTCTACGAGTAACCCCTGCTTCTAGATTTCGAGTTATTGCTCGTGGTGTGATACCAGATACTAGTCTAATGTTTCGTCGTCGACCAGCAACTGACGCAATCGCGTATGTGATGGTTCATTGCTGATACTTCTAACTTGTTTTCGATTTAGTGTATCGGTAGACTTAGGGTCGTTTCAAGTGTTCGGTATTTCGACAAATATAAGTCAATCTGAATTATTGAACGAGAATCGACCTGTTCTTGTCCGCCCATCAGGATTATCAACATCTGATCAGCACAAGTTCTTACAAGTCGAATTCGAGACAAATCCATTAGACAAGAAATCCGATTACCGCGTGAAAGTCGTCTCGCAATCATTAGAAATCAAATACAATGCGGTAAGCATTTTCATTGTTATCAGCAATTTGATTGTGATTTTTTGATTCCTTCAGCCAACGATTAATAAATTAGCCGAATGTTTCGAACCAGATAGTTCGCGAAATCTACAAGGGTAACAATAATGGAATGTAAACACCTTCATAAAGAATTTGAATCTGATTTAGTGTTAAACAAGTTGCATATTCAACTTATACTGATGTTAAACATCGATCGTTCATATTAATGAAACACAATATCGAAAAAATCAAAGTTTTGGATATTTATATCGATATTCAGTCGTCATATTTTCTTCTACCAGAAAATGGAGTTTACCAAGAGTGAGAAACGAAATGATTTGCGACGAAAAATATCTTTGCTTCGTTTGGATTTAGTGGTGTTGCAGCTATTTGTATGGATTTGGGTCATCTAACATTACAACGAGGAACGGACCAAGTTACTGATGGTCAGAATCTTCACCAACCAAAAGTAAACGTAATTTTCTGATTGTCTCGAATATATTCACTTCGATTTTTGTTTGTAAACAGGATATTGAAGGTCTTCGTGAATTGTCGTATACTCAATTCAAATTAAAACTTACTGATGTTCAACTAATCTATGCACATCGCAGTAAGTGACAATCTTGTGTGCAAATTAATTCGATCGAGATCTTCTTTTAGATGAAAGCTGGGAAAATGCACGTAAAGACAAGAACACTCGTTTACATTTGATCAAACCAATGGAACTCGAAATGGATGTAGACAAATGCATCTACAGTGATGATGCGGTTTTACCTGCGTAAGCAGTTTCCGTTTCAAACTATAAATTACTTTTCAATTTTTTTCCATATTAGATGGAAAATGGCTGGAAACATTCCAGGTGTTGAATTACGTTTATCCGATAAACGTCTCTTTCACATTATCAACCATATACAAACGATTCCTTTCCCGGAATCGAAACATCCCGTCAATGAAATTCCAGCATTAGAAGCTGAAGTTTGTTTTACATTCAATCCGTGAAGTAATTAAAGAATTTCGTCTTGTTTTAGTCAACAACAGCACAATCTTTACTGAGTAATCCTGAGCAGACACTTGAAACAGTTGAAGGAATGACGCCAGTAAAGAAAAATTTAGAAAAAGCAGAAGCTGATGAAAATAGCGACGAAGAAGTTGTCAAAAAGCCATTATCAGAAAGAAAAAGTAATTCCGAAGGACAATTGACCCAATTGGAAGCAACATTTACACTTGATAAAGTAAGATTTTCTCTCAACCAAACTTTCGCTCATATTTTCTTTCATTGTTCTAAAGATTGTTCTACATATTGATGAAGCGTTGAACACCACCAACGAAAACGACGAAGGAGAACCATTTCTTCATCTCACTCTCGATTCTATCATTGCCAAAACAAAAATTAAAACATTCGATATGGAATTTAACGCATCTTTGGCTGATTTAGTCGTCTATCACGAGCAGTTCATCGGTAAAGATAATCAACACTTACGCTTACTCTCTGCACAATTGAACCAAGACGAAAACGATCCCAAAGATAAAAAATTAGTCAGCTTAAACTTTCGTCATACATCTCCGGAGAATCCATTATTTTCCTCGGCAATGTACAACGGAATCGAGAATCATGCCCATGTGCATCTGACTAAACTAGTTGTCACATTACAACTGGAAGCATTGTTATCAATATTAAGATTTCAAGATGCTTTATTGAAAAAGCTACCAAAAGATCTACCGGAAATCGAAATGAAGAAGAAAACTGAAGAAGAAGAATCAAAGAAGGCACAGCAAACATTGAAAGTACCGGAAGATAATCGAACTTTAGGCAGATCACTTTCGACTTCAGGAAAAGTTGTGAAAAAGAATGGTAAGAGATTGTACGAGATATACAGATTTCAGAGCAACCAACGTATTTAGATGTACCAGTAACACCCACATTGAAAATTGAAGCTGACTTGGAAGAATTTCGAGTGATAATTGCATCAAAAATGACTCAACTGTTCGATATACAAGTTCAAGGTTTGATTGCTTCATTAACTCAATGCTTTTTTTCACTGTATTCTTATGCAGGTGTCAAAGCTGATGTGTCTCAAGCACCGGAAAAGATGTTAATCAATTTGATTCTCTCTGATCTACGTGTTTTCGACCCTTACGAAGGTGCTCGATTCCGAAAAGTAAGACTTCGTGGACATCTTTCATGTAATCATACATAAATTGCTTTTCTCGAAGATTATCTCCCAACAAGGCACTGACAAAGATTTACTTCGTGTTGACTTATGTTTATTCAATTATCCGGAAGGTTACACAAAACCGTTAGATGTCGTCGACTGTCAAGTGAAAGTAGACTTTGCCAAAGCAAATCTGATTTTTCTCTTCAAACATATCGATGCGATTCTGGTACGATTTTTTCTTCACAAATTTCCCTCGAAAATTTCATTCTCGTTGTTTTGCCTAGACTTTCCTCGATTCTTTGAATATAACGAAAGCTGCATTAGATTTGGCATCGACTCAAGCAGATGCTGCTTATGAACAAGTACAAAAACTACAAGAACAAGCTTTTAAAGTTCATTTGGACATCACATTCAATGCTCCGAACATAATCATTCCAACAAATTCATATTCAGACGAAGCACTGCTGTTTGATTTGGGTAAATTAACAATGAAAACGCGTTTTTTCGATGATCCGAAACGATCACTTATTGAACAACAAAATATTCGACTGGAAAACGTGTTGGCAAGTCGAGTAAAACTTAATCGAGAGAATACTATTCTCGGAGAGATTACTTTACTCGAATGTGCGGAATTGAATGCACTAATCAACCGGTTACTTTACCCAGAAAAAATCCGAACGGAACCCGGAGTTACGATCAAAGCTGAATGGGAATATATTCACGTAAGGAAAGTTTTCTGTGTTTTGAAGAACTGAAATATTTCGCCTTTTTTTCATGTAGTTTCGATTAGCCAAAGGTGATTATTCATGTGTGATGAAAGTTTTAATGGAAAACTTTACGGAAAATATTCGAGATCAAATAGCGGAAAGTGCTCAATTGGAACAGTATCATTACCGACAAGAAGAACAGGAAAAAGAGGAAGACGCATTACGAAATGCTGTGATTAAGAGACAACAGGGTTTGACTGAAATTTCATTGTATGTATCGAACTTATTCTTTTTTGTATTTTCTAGACGCACACGGAGATGAAGTGTTGCAAACAGTGAAAATTCGAGCAGAAATTAAGAAAATGGCTTTGACGCTTTACTTGGGTGAAGCAAATTTCGTTAGTGGAATTGTGTATACGGAGATCAAAGTTGTATTATTGTGTGTTTAGACTGTTCGTCGCGCTCCACGTGATGAAAATCTAAAATTGGCTAATGTTCAAATCGAATTACTCGAAGCATTATTTCGTCAGCAAACAGATGCAAGTTACAAAGCAATGGTTCGCGTGAAGAACTTTCTTCTTGATGATCTCCGTGAAACCAATCGATCAACCAGTGTCACACGCATGATGGATCGGCATTTTACTGTCGATCCCAATGCACATATGCTTATTGCTTCATTCGAATTCAAACCAAAATCACCAACAAATCCATTAGCACTTCGACAACGTAACTAGTACTTCTCTTATCATTTTCCATTCTCTTCGAATGTTTGTAGTGAGCGCACAACTTGAAAGTCTTTATATTTGTATCAGTTTGGATTATCTGATGACGCTACAAGATTTCTTTATTTCTGGTTTACCTACTGGTGGTAATGAAGCAAGATCTCGTGCAACAACGACGACATCCGAAGACAATGATGCGAAACCAGACAACGATAAAAATAGATTAACTGTTGATCAGCGAGCAGCTCGGCCATCAATTGCATTGCCAAGAACTCCGACACCGTCGAAATGTAAGTTCCTCCAACTCATTTGCATGTTCACCTGAGCCGTTCTGTTTTTGTTTGAATAGCTACGCCGCCGTCATTCCCATCAACCCCATCAAATGCTGACACAGAAGTCGAAACACGTATTGATGTCATTGTCAAGCATCCTGAAGTGATCCTACTTGAAGATCAACATAACTCTAATTCGAATTGTCTCGTACTTGATGTATGCTTAACAACGTGGAGTCCGACCAGTACTAAAGCTCGCTTTTCTTGTTTAGGTTGCATTACAAATGCGTATGATCAGTGTTGGCGATGATACGAAATTATACCTTTGGTTAAAAGATTTAACGGTCTACAGCTCGAACTTTACCGAATTAAGAGATTCGAAGGATTCGGGCTCAAAGATCAAATATCGCGTAAATAAGAAAAATCAATTAATTCTCTCAATTGTAATTTCGTTTTCTCATTCAGATTTTACAACCTGCCAAAGCCGATGTAATCATGATCATGGACCGAGAACAACAGAAAATTGATGTACGAATCTCTGATATTATTGTTAGCATTGCACCGGCTGCAGTTAAAACATTAATTGCTGTCACAAGTTCATTGGGAACACTGCAGGTAAATAAATATCTTGACTAATTGATCGATTCATTCAATCGATTTTAGACAACTGTTCTCGAAGAAAAAGAAAAAGTGAATTCCAAATCTTTGTTCAGTCCTAAACCATTTAAAGATGCTGGCTTTTGGTTCACGAAAGGTATTTCTATTCGAATTGACAGAAGAAGTGACTTACATGTTATTGAAATAGATTTCGAAGAGAAAGAAGGACTATTAGAAACAACAGATATATTAGAAACAGTCACAGGGACACCATCCATACAAAAAGCAGTCAAAGAAGAAGAGAACAAATTGATCGAGAAAGAAGAAAAAGCCGAAACTCAAACTCTTCAAATTCAACAGGTAAATAAATCGTTTTCTCCATCTGATTAATTAATAATTTATTTTAGTTAATTCTAACACTGGAAACCATCGAATTGAAACTTGAAGTTGGTCTTGGTTCAATAACCAAATCCGTCGTTGCCATGTGTTTATCAAATTTAACAGCTGATGTTAAAAACTGGGGAACTGATGTATAACTCGCGAACTTCATTTCCACTTTATATTTCTGTTTACACTTTTAGTTGAGTCTTTCAGCGACTGTCAACGTCGAAGCCGCATTATTCAACGAACGTATGCTTTCGTGGGAACCTTTAATTGAACCAACAATTGATTCAAATGGTTCCATCCTTTCACCATGGTGTCTCATTTGTTCGATTGTACCGGTAAGTAATTTTTTCGCGAAAGATGCGACGCTTTGTCTCCTGATAATTTGCAGATACTTAACGAAGAAATGAGAAAGGTAAACACGATTGATACTCCTTTGTTTGGCGATAAGCGCATGTCTAAGCCTTACAGTTGCGACTTGAGTGATAAGAATTTCGAATTCTGATAAGTTCGAAAGTATCTCTCTATTTAAGATATTAGCACCAACGGATCGACGTGAATCTATTGTGTCGAATGCATCCGAGCGAAAAGAAGAACATCCATCAGCGAATTCGAAACAGATTATTTTCATTCGTGCTGAACAGCTACTGAATATAACATTAACAAAGACAGGACTCGATTTAGCTCAACGCTTATCAGCTTTATTCGATGATGTGTATAATAAACGATTACCGTTTACCGAGGATGACAATCAACCAATGCTGTCATTGTATAATGCAACAGGAAAAGATTTGTTAATTGATGGTTTGGATGGACTCGAGGTAAGTTTGACATGTGGGCAACAATTTCATCGCTTGGAATTGTTTTCAGTTTGATACAAAGACGTCAGTTATATCATTGGATCTCAAAGCTAATGATTCGGTTCCATTAGTTGTACCAAATGATCGTCAATCCGCTGCGCGACTTTCAGTTATCGAAGAACAAGATTTTAAACGCCGTCAAGAATTTTCTGTTCAAGTAAATATAAATAGTCATTTGAAAATACTCATTTCACGCATCAATTTTAGATTGGAAATATTACGAAAACTGTCAGTATCAATCGAACGTGGAAACGCGTATATGAGTTAGGCCCATCAGCCAACCCACATTGGCCGGTTCAAATACTTTGCGATACTCAAGTACAAAATGATCGTCGGCGTGTTATTCTCAGTTCAATCGTCAAAATTTATAACAATACTACAATGCCATTGGTGATTCTTGATAGTGATTCGATTGAAACTGACGTTCATCATCGATTGGCAACAGTTGGTGTGAATGATGAGTATTATGCTCCGATTGATATTATTTATCGACACGCGAGTTCACCGATTTTCATTTCGGTTGAAGAGTGAGATTATTGCAATGTTCTATTGAAGAAAACCGAGAATTTCTTTGTAGAAACGATAGTAATGACAAATTTTACGATTTTATTTCATTCGATTGGGAAAAGGAATTTCTATCGGAAAGAAAACTTAAGTTGAAAAATGGCAAAAACGCTCATTTTGTGGTGAGATTGGCTAATTCAACTATAAATTCTTCCTTATCAATATAATTCATTTAGATCTTTAAAGAAGTAACCGAAGCCTACTCGGAAAACACCGATCAGCTCGATCGTCAAACATTTAGTTTACACATCCACCCTGCACTTCATCTAACCAATCTTTTACCAGTTGAAATCCAATGTTCAATCGATGTAAGTCTAACATCTCATACTTTTCCTCTAACACAACCGATTTCAGATTGATTCTTCAGCAAAAAATCTTTATCCGGTCTTTGACCGGATCGTTCGTTATGCGACCAATGTTCGTGTACATTTGCTAGCGTAGATTGTCTCAGTCTTGTATAAAACGTTCACTGTCAAGATTTCCTACAGCTTGTCGACATGATTTTGCTTTTGATGTTGATAAATTCTCGAAGTTAATTTGAATATTTGCATTTAAGGATGTCGAACAAATCGATTTGAAGCCAAGTGAGTTGAGTCTGATCACAGCGGGAAATAAACAATCGATATTGACTTTCACGGTAAAGAATTCGCTCTCTGTTTGGATGAAAAAACTAATGCCAATGTTTTAGGTCCCTTCGTATAATAATCTTAAATGGATATCGGAGCCAGTTGATTTGAAAATTGAAGGCAAAGGTGATCATAATGAACATTTAGTCATCTTTCATAATTCAACAGCGAATTCGCAACAAACTTTGGTAAGAAATAAGGAAGAACATATTTCAATCAAAGTGCTTCTTGATTTTATTAGAAAATGGTTTTACGTATCGATACATATCATGAATCGTACCGTCTATTATTGTATTCACCATTTTGGATTCTCAATCGTACGGAATTGTCTTTGGAATTTCAAGTAGGAAACAATTAGTATTGATTTTGCACATCTATCTTGCTCTTCTTCGTGTTGTAGATTGAAAATAACCGTACTTTTCTCGAAGCAACTCACACACCGTTTTTAGTCTGCCCAGATAAGTTTGATAGCGAAGCGAACCGAAAAGTAAAATCGATTTCGTTGAATATACTGAAAATGTATACTGATTATCGATTATAGGGCCAACTTCGACTTTACAGTGCTGAACAAGGCGATAATACGACCAGTTGGTCGGAGAAATTCTCATTAGATGTGATTAAAAGTACTGGTATGGCATCATGTAAAGTCCCAAATGATCGAGTCTATATGGTAAGTGTCGAATGCATATGGAAGATGTTTTGTTTCTGAGAGAGTTTTAGGTTTGCGTGGATATTGTGACTTGTTCATTTGGTTTAACAAAAATTGTCACTTTATCACCATCAGTCGTTATAATTAACAATTCATCGGTAGATTTGCGGCATTTTTTGTGAAAATCAATTCGCTTTTCTTTTATTTTCAGATTGAAGTGGAAGTTGTCGAAACAGTGTCCGACAAAGAACAGGATAAGTGGGGACCAGTTAACTCTGAACAAGTAATGAGAATCTCTCTTCTGCTGATTTTTATCTGAGAGTTCGAATATGCTTTAGATAATTCCATTTTGGCCACACAATATCGAAGCTGGTGTGATGCGTGTTCGTTATACACATAATCGCGTAACATCGAGTCCATTTATGATGAATCAAAAGCATCGAACTTTGTTACGTATGAATGATGAAGAGCGTCCAGCAATTTATGTTGAAGTCACAGCAACCGATTTCGATGGTATTCGAGTGATTTTTGGTGACTATAAGATCGGCGATGCCCCACTCCTTGTGGTTAATTGTTTGAGAAACGATCCAGTATCGTTTTGTCAAGCGGACGATGTGTAAGTCAAATGAAGTGCTAATCGATTTTACAGCCGAAATTTCGCTTTAGACGAGCACAAGTCTTACCACCACAAAATTATGTTTACTACACATGGTCGGATCCTTTGAAACCAAGACAATTAGTTGTTTCATGCGGTTCAAAAACAACACAAATGGAATTGAATGTAAGAGACACACGGATTATTTTTTGTAGAAATCGAGTAATGATAGTTCAGTGGTTGTGGAGCTTGACAGACATTTCGAAAGTACTCTGTTCGAATCTCAATTCGCATGCTCACTCTGTGTTCCGTTTATTCAATCGAATGGAATCCAATTTTCTCGCATGCTAAATAAAGTGACCCACAGAAGAACGGATTGCTCGAAAGAATGATATTCCATTCCTTGAATATCGATCTTCTCAGTCCATTTTCTACACATTCCCATCGGCTTCTTATTCGTTTTTCTCACGTCCATGATGTTTTAGCCTCAATGTGGCTTTCTCGGCAAAGACGGTGATCATAATGTTAGTTATACAACGTTTATCGATGGTGTTCAAACTGTTCTACTCTTTTCGGATGATACAAAAGTCATTGAAGCAGCTTCTGGCGTAAGTTTTCTTCTTAAATGTCATGAGAAATTAAAATCCTGGGAAATCTCTACAGATGCCATCATTAGCTGAATCGATGGGTCAACGTGTTCAGATCGGTATTCATAATATAGGCCTTTCAATTGTCAATGATATAACCCGAGAGGAGTTGCTTTATGTAAGTCTAAGTAAATCCAAAGTTGTGTGGACGGAAACAAAAAAATCTCGCGTTCGACCACTGTCACACGAGGTCAACGCACATCTCGAAGAACTTTATAAAACTCACGTTGAACAACATGAAGCGAATCCAGATGACAAACAACTTGTCAGAAAAACATATCATATGGACCAATTTCGGGTATATTCTTTCATCTTCATCTCGAATCTCATCGTTTTTGCTTTCGATACAGCTGAATTAATCAGTTCCAAAGGTCAGCGAAAAGTAGCCAAACGACAAGCATTAGATGGTCTTTGGATTGAATATGCTTGGTCGGTCACGAGTGCTGCTTTACATATTCGTATAAATCGTGTTCAAATTGATAATCAACTTGATTATACAATGTTTCCTGTTGTTCTTTATCCGGTGATTTCGAAAGCAACAGGAACTGATCATGCGGAAAAACCTTTCATCGAACTAAGTGTTTTGGAATCGAAAACAAGTCGATCGACTGTTATGCAATTCAAATATTTCAAATTACTCGTTCAAGAATTTGCCGTCAAAATTGATCAAGGTTTAATTGTCGCAATTCTAGCATTTTTACGAGCAGAAAAGGTTTGTACTTCTAGTCGAGATTCGTTATCGATCTGTACGAGACTTTTATATAGAGTGCCGCAGCACCAACCATCAACATGGACACAGATTTAGAACAAATTCAAAAACCACTCAATGCAATCATCAAAGCACAAACAGAGAGTCCGTCTGGTGATACAGAAATGTATTTTGATAACATTCATCTTTCACCGTTGAAAGTACTGTTGTTAGCATTGTCAACATGCACTATTGTGTTGATTTTCATTTCGATGTAGATTCATGTTAGTTTTTCAATGCACGGATCAAAAGCAAGTGAAGAACTTTTAGCAGAATATCCATTAGTGGCATTTTTATTACAAACATTGAATGTTGCTGAAGTACAAGATGTCATTTTACGGTGAGATTCTTTTTTTGAAAACTCGAAGGTAGTTCTCACTAGCATGTGACTTGCATTTAGTTTGGGATATTATGAACGAACACAGGATCGTTTTACAGTGACAAAATTAACTAACGAAGTTACATCTCATTATCAAAATCAATTTATGAAACAACTTCATGTTCTTGTTCTTGGTCTCGATGTGTTGGGCAATCCATTCGGTGTTATTCGAGGTTTAGCTGAAGGTGTTGAATCATTCTTCTATGAACCTTACAAAGTAAAATGCGTTGACCATGTTGATGACAATATCGAACTTTTGTTCCGTATAGGGTGCAATTGAAGGTCCCATGGAATTCGCTGAAGGTGTGGCAACAGGTGTTCGAACATTAGTTGGTTCGGCTGTAGGCGGTGCTGCGGGTGCGTTTTCGAAAATTACTGGTGTTCTTGGCAAAGGTTTAGCTACATTAACATTCGATGAAGACTATAAAATATCTCGAATCAGACGCAAAGAACCAGCCACACACGCTACAACTGACATTGCTGTTGGTGGAAAAAATGTGGTTATGGTAAGTTCATACACTAACGATCAGAAATAATGACATTGCCCCCCTCTTATCTGTAAAGGGGTTTGTCGATGGTGTTACGGGTGTTGTAACTAAACCAGTTTCAGGTGCAAAAGAAGGTGGTGCATCTGGATTTGTCAAAGGTTTAGGCAAAGGTTTTCTTGGTCTTGTTACACGACCAACTGGTGGAATCGTCGACTTTGCCAGCACTTCATTAGATATTATCAAACGGTAAAAGATCGATAACACTTGTAACATATTGTGATAGAATTGACTTTATTTAGAGCTGCACAACAAGAAGAAGTAGTCCGCCGTGTTCGTTATCCACGCCATGTGGGTCGTGATGGACTCGTTCGACCATATATTTCGCATGAAGCTATGGGATTCTATATTCTAAACGTAAACAATCACTCTACCCCGAATATTTCTCAGATTGATTATTCCTATAATTCAATTCTAGAGATTACACGATGGAAAATATGCGAAAACCGATACTTATGTGGCGCATATAACTTGCTCGGAAAGTCCGCCATCCTGGTTGTTAGCTACATCAAAGTATAGTTGTTTTGGTTCTTCAGTATGCTGAGAAATTATTGAATGATGATTTTAGACGTTTATTGTTTGTAACGGAAATTTCCTTTCTTGGTTTATATGAAGTTGATTGGCATATCGAATATGAAGAATTAAAAGAAGAACCTGTTGTGAAACCAAATTTGAATCAAATTCAAATTCTTACTAAAGTATATCAGTAGCAGAGAAAATCATTTTGATTTCATCCCTGTCTCTTCTAGGAACCAAAGAAAACAGGAACACTAAAATCTACTCGTTCGTTTGGTAAAATGGTCAAATATCGTAACATATCTGAAGCTCGAGTAAATATCAAAATTTTCGCTTGTTTCTTGTCTTCTGATAATTATTCTTTGAATTTTTAGTTCATCGTAGATAAAATAACCAATGCAATGCATACAGTTGGCCTATAAAACAGTGCCTTTTCATTTAAACCAGCCTTTTCTGTTGTATTGTGTATATGAAGCCGCTCTATAGTCTCTCAAAGCGTGTAATCCAGCGTTGTGAATGAGCTAAACATTTAATCGGTGATAGAATCACATTCTGTCTTCTTCTGATTTTCAATTTTTGTTAGTGAACTATATTCAAGCATTTATTTCTCATTTTTGCCTTATCAAAATGTTTGTTTACGCTGATTTAGATCTGCGAAGGCTGGAGTCATTTTTTCTTTATTCATTTGAAAAACAAGAAAGATATTTTACTTAACCGAATAGAAAATAAAAATCAGTTTTGCTATTGCCAAACAGTAATGGCTGATGTGATGTGTAAATCATAACCTTACAGAGATTTCGACGTTAAACAATCGTTAGAGAAACACACAAGTCAAAACCAAAGGCAAAATCTCGATGTTTTAACATAGACTCGACAACTTGGAAAACGCGTTTGAACCATTTGACGATAGGATTCCACTTTCATATCCGAAATGACACCATATATATCGAGAAAAAGCAATTCTTTCAATTGATCATGCAGTTGACAAAGATTTTGTTCAAAAACAATCGTGTGTTCATCTAAATTATAAAAATTTTACGAAATCATCGGACTATCTTGATGAATTGATCTCAAAACTTACTAGCACATTCAGCGGTTTTCAAAAATAATCTCCACTTGTGCATAAACATGGCATAGTTTCGTTGTTTTATATATTTTCGTCGCACTTAAAGAAAGAAATGAAAATAAGTTCAATATTAGTAATCCAAATATAGTTTTGTTTATTCAGGCAAATGATAATCAAAGCTCATCTGTTTATGTCATTCGATACGCATTCGTCGAACACCAGCTGTACGAAATGGATGGTTTACAAAAGCCAAAAGGGAGTAACACACCTCAATTTAATGAAGAATTAGCATAATTAATGTAATCTTGTGAATTTAAAGCTGAGTCTCTGATACATTATCTTTGACTATATGCTTTATTCGATGCACAACAGTCAAGTAACATTGAAACTGTAGTTTTAGTTAACTAAATTAACCATGAAGACAAAACGGTCAGTTTAAATACGTTATGACAAATAAATTTAAACTTTCATTGAAAATCTGAGCGTGAGTAAGACAGATTCAACCTCAACTTTGCACATTGTATCTAGATCGATAAGTGTCATATTTTTTATCACTAGGATAATGGTGCTACTCTATCTGCAAGTTGACTACGAACGAAATAGACGTAACAAGTCTAAAAATGATGAGAAAAAGACATCGAGAAGTACAAATAGTTAAGGTTAATTAAATTGCTTCGAAACATCTCACTAATTTTAATTCTATCTCATTAGAAATAAGTTGATTATTTATCGTATTTTGATAAAGATTAGCCAAAATGACAATTTAAAAAAGTGATTCATTTCAAAATATACTTACGCGATGTCCATGGAAAATCATCAAGTCTCCAAAGCCGTAATATACGTAGATGCGGCATATAAGTACTAAGAACAGGTACAAGATTTGCTCCTAAACCAATCGATTCATTCGACCCATAATTACAGCTTGCGAGACCGAATTCAATACACCGAACAGTGTTCAACGCATTCTTGCGCAATTTATCGGCAGCCTAAATAAAGACTACGTTGCTTTTTTCTATGAACTGACATGCAACTTAAATATTCAAGTGATAGAAAGTTCAACTTTATTGGTATTATTGATTAAATCAGTTCAATGTGCAAGATGACTTACATATTGAAATAAATATAATAGCCATTCAAATTTTGCAATAAATAGAGATCTTAATTGATTTGGTATTGAAACAAGATGAGCCAGTATTGTCACATACGTTTTAATACTATGTGATAATTGATGACAGGGATCTAAAATTGATGTTTGAATGTAATTATTTCTCAGGAAGTATCAATTGAACAATCTTATTCAAAACTTCATTGTTTTATCTTCAAGTATGAAGTAGTAGAAAAGGAGTGCAAATGTTTTGTAGTGCATTCCTGATATCTTTAGATGAAAACAATAGACATTTTTAACTGTAATGATTTGAGAAGAGATCGAATATTTCCGCATGGCAGTTTTGGAAAAAGAGATAAATTGTACATACGCAGCATGAAAACATTGCAAAAACCAAATCGAAGTATTGTAACATTTCGAAGTTTAACATCTAAATTATTGATCGTTGTCTCAAATGCTGATAATAATGGTTGCAATGGTATGGGTTCTATACCAGTAGTAACTAAAACAAGGACAACAGTTGACGTCGTTTTCTTCAAATGAATAACAATTTCATCTAAGATGAACATAAAACGACGGATTTTGTTTGTTTAGTCTAAGACCTCGAATTGCAACTTAAGACAATACGACAGAGGCGAAACAGATCGGTTTGTCCTATCAAACGAACAGATGCGGATTTCACTCATTAGTCTGATGGCTACAAATTACACAGGCTGGATGCAAATATGGCATAGCCAGGAAAACAAATTACAGGAGGATCAATCCATTTTTTGTCCCCGGTGACTATGCCACTAGGCTTAGTACAAAAGTAAATCACTCTTGTCCAGATGTTTTCAATGGATAATTTAACTGATTTTCTTACCTGGACGAACTGAGATCGATGAAATATTTAAAGATGATTTACTAAATTGTTTCAAATCTCGGCAAAACGATTGATCTAAATCAAATCGAATGTTTTGAATATCTGAGCATTCGTATCTATTCTGTTCAACGCTAAATAAAATAGAAAAAGACTTTAGGAAACTTTTCAATGATGAAATTTCTTACAGTGATTGTGCTAAAAACTGCGATTGATCGAGATTGGAAGAAAAAATATGTTGATAAGATCTCTTTTGATCATGAATAACTTGAAATTTGATATATTGACCATTAAGGAACAAAAGATTGTTTGTAAATTCATCATTAATCCTTTCCATCTCGATCGTTGAAGTTGCGAATGGTTGGCCAATATAAAGGTAGAAATCTTTTAAATTAGATAATATCCCAGGTAGACAATATTGACGAATAAAATTCGTATCGATGGTATTAGATATGTTTGAGTGTGAATTTCTTAACCATTCTACTCGGTATTTTAAATAGATTCGAAGTTTGCTAATATGACGAAGATTATTCAGAAGCCATTTCAAGTGGTTGAGTTCAGTAGCATCATCTATTCCACTTTTCAGCATAAAATATTTTAATTTTGGCACCTAGTTTACAATGAAAATAAGTGTTTTATAATAGAGAAATTCATTTAAATTTGTATGTAAATAATATCGTTGAAATCAACATAAGTAAATTCAAGATATGTTATCGTATAATTTTGCTCCATTGGAAGAGCATACATATCCCTCATTCGTCTTACCTTGTGAATCCAACCTTCATCTGATGCTCTGAATGCTTCAACATCCAAACGACGTACTTCATCACGCTGCAAATGTGTGCAAACAACCGACAACTTTTCAAGATTAGGAACATGATGAATAAGATGTTCCAAGAAACACATATATTCAAGATGAATATGTAAACGGCATACATTTACACATTGGAATTGATGTTGATTGTAGTCGAAACAATCAAAATGTCTCTTTAAGCATATATGCTCCCAATAAGATAAATTCTTCATATCAAGGTAAAGAGATTTCAGTTTACATTGACTAGAAAATATTTGACGTAGAAGAACAGACATTTCACACTTGGACTGTTCTATTAAATCAAAAGAAAGATTTTATTAGACTCACTAAATTTCTAATCACCTTATTCTAACAGGAAACCGACTGTAAGTTGCCTTTGTTACTTGATGTTCTCAAATGCGTGCAACGAAAGACTTATGCTTTTCTCTATCATTGACTTTACAAAAGAATACATCTAAATCACCGTAGATGGTTTACATCTTCAATTAAACTGTTACATTTTAAAGATCAAACTCAAATCAATCTGTTTTCGAAAAACAAGGATTTCCCAAGACAAAATATCGATGAAAATTGACCTAGTGAACTATGATATAACAACGACAAGAAACTCTTTTCACGATACAATAGGCTGAATCTAATNGAGTAGATGACATTGTTCAAATAATAATTCTTCACCATTTCGATTTCGTAGTTGAAATTCCTCTCAACGGAAAAATTCGTTTGGGTACCAATCCTTGCAAAGGTAAAGATTTTCTTCATTTTTTATTCAGAACAACTTTGAGTCATTATTCCAGTCTGTATTTGTACGATAACTGGGTTTCAATGCGAAGATCAATGTGAGACTATCCCAGCATCAACCTCCATTGGTACTCCTGGAGGTAAGCTAAGACAAATCATATTTTTCTTTAATTATCAGTCGATTAGAAGGCGCACCAACGAGCTCTTCTTCAGTACCACCTGATCAAATAATCATTTCTCCATCCCCTTCGCCTTCTCCTATACCAAACACGAATATAAATGTCTCGACGAGTTCAATTCCTACGACACCATCGAATGGAAATACGGATGATGATTTAACGTCAATTATTGCAGGTGGTCCGTGCTCACGCTTGGCAGCAAACGCTCTAGCAGCAGCACGTGAATACGCCTTTGTTGACTGTAGCGAAGCTTATTTAGCTGGCAAGCGTACAAATGGCATCTATGAAATTTGGTAAGAGCAAACAAACGAAATTCATTGGACGCTTTTTCTCTATCTCTCAAAAGGCCTCGAACAAGTCCAAAACCGTTTCGAGTATACTGTGACATGGAGACAGATGGTGGCGGATGGACAGTCATTCAACGGCGTGATGGCTACAGCCAACAATCGAATTTTTTCGTCTCGTGGTTATCATACAAACGTGGTTTTGGCGATTTAACTCGAGATTTTTGGCTTGGAAATGAAAAAATTCATACATTGACAAGTCAAGATGAATATCGTCTTCACATAAATTTAGAAGATTTCAATGATCAATCTCGTTTTGTTGTTTATGAATGGTTTTTCATAACAAATGAACAAACAAAATATACATTAAATTTAGGTCGTTATATGCCGTCGTCAACGGGTGGAGATTCGTTATATTACAATCGTGGAATGCGGTTCACTACACGTGATCAAGATAACGATCAATCAATGTCCGGTCAATGTGCTGAAAATTATAAAAGTGGCTGGTGGCATGCTGGATGCACATTAGCCAATTTGAATGGACTTTACTTACGTGGAAATGATTCGACAGCAACAGGAATCTTTTGGAATAATTGGTTAGGTGCAAAATATTCACTTAAATCATGCGAAATTAAAGTTCGACCGACAAGTTTCAACAGCGAAATGCTTTCATAAAAGAACCAAAACCGATTTTTCCCATTTATTTGTTTGAGGTTTTGTATATTGTTGCATATTATTCTTCGAATGACAATAAAGAGAAATACAATTGCGAACGATTTTTAATCACTATGCTAACAACTGTTTTTCTTTTTTAAACCTTTCGCAGATAACTTTTTCAATTAATACGGAAACGTTACCGCTGACACTGTTGATTCTAGATAAGATGAACTCCAATAGCGAGAATTACAGTTTGAAAAGATAATCAGTACAACATATTCGAGATATGAGAAGTCGAACTCTTGAATGGTTCTGCGAGCTAAGATGAAAGAAAAGTTTTTAAATCAAACAAGAAATGTTCAAAAATTGACCTTAGGTTTCTTTGTTTTCACGGAAAAAGTATGATCAACGTGAGCTATTATCGATGTTTAATCCAAATCCGTCAGCTATAGTTATTGAGTATATACAGTCGAGTCGTATCGAGATAGAGGAATATCGATTAGTGTTTGAATCAATCATACGATCATTTAAGCATTTTGTAAACGACATCTGATTGATTTATATGGGATTTGATCTTTTCGACTTGTTAAATTCTCTGTATGTCAATCAGTAACTGTTGCCATTAAACAACAGATTTAACACAAAAGTATTCGACAAAGATTTTCTTTTGATATTTCTTTACAAAATAAACCAACGATGTCAATAATCAGTGTGTTAGCTGAAAACTTTTTCGCTAGATAAGTCCCGTCCACCAAGATGAACGTGTAAATAGTCAATCGGACTACGATGTGTTTTAACTTAGCTGATGGATTTCATATCTTCATATTGATGTTTCTTGTTTTGTTGCAAACAGAACTTGAAGATCGATTCCCGTAGTAAAACGACGTCGCGCTACCCGCGATTCCAATTGGTTAATTTCCTAACTGACGATGACTCATCTAGTCGTTGTGGCGCTCGCTCGCTAGAAAAACGAATATTTTCATTTGATCGATAAATATATAGATAGAAATATCTGTGTAACTTTCTCCGGTGATTTAATACACCGTTGATTAGACGGTTTGGAAATGGTATTCGAAAATCTCGTTGTTTATCTACTGGACAAATATCTGGGAGATTATATAGAAAATCTAGATACAAAAAAACTTAAAATTGATTTATGGAGCGGTAAAAATAGAACCACAATGGGTTTTCCATCGAATACATTTGGTATTTTTAGGAAACGTGGTCCTCGAAAATCTTTATCTAAAATCCAATGCACTGGTATGTGAATTTCTTTCCAAATCTCATGGATTAACTCGATTTTGACTAGGCCGATCTGAATCTGCCAGTGACTATCTCAATTGGGTACTTACGTATGTCAATGTGATGGATTTTGTGATGAAAAACAATGAGATTTGCTTTAGAAAAATTAACGTTACAAGTTCCATGGAAGAATTTATATACACATCCAACAAAAGCAACGATTGATGGATTGTTTTTATTAGTTGTTCCGAAGACAGGTTCGTAGATAACTGTAGTGTTCGGATTGTTATGATTTGGAAGCTTTTTAGAAGTGGAATATGATGCGAAACGCGATGAAAGAGAACAACACGAAGCGAAAATGAAAGAAGTTCGTAAGGTCGAAGAGCTTCGAAAAGAAAAAGAAGCTGAAAGTAAGCAAAAATTAATTCTATACGAATTGATATACATCAATTTTTATTTAGAAAATGCCAAGGAGAGTGATAAAAATAACGATACATTTGTCGAACGAATGCAACTTCAAGTTATCCGAAATTTAGAATTATCTATCCGAAATATTCATATCGTCTATGAAGATAAAACAACTAAACCAAATCATCCATTTGCATTCGGAATTACTCTTAACTACATTTCACTTCATGTAACTTTGATAAAAAAATTCAAATCTCCTATTAATTCTGTTTTATTTCTCATAGACAACCACACCGGAGTGGGAACCTACAATACTCAAAGAAGATACACCATTGATTCACAAGGTAAATTCCACTACAAACTGAATTTTATAATCAAATGTTGTATTTTTAGCTGGGTGAATTAAGTGCCTTGTCGATTTATTGGAATACTAATGCGAAATCTCGTTCTGATTTGTCCCGAGATGAGGCGATTGTATGTAAACTATTTGATTACTTCCTTGTATTTATTTTATTTCGTTCAGAATAATCTACGCGAAAAAATCGCAAGTGACAATCAACAAGTTCCATCTGATATTGCTTACAGTAAATTATTCTTGCGTGTTTTTTGCTTCGTATAACGTTCATTTTTAGTTCTTCGCCCATTGAACGTCAAAGCAAGACTTATCTTAACAATGAAACCGCGCCAAGAAGATTTCAAACGGCCCATGTTTGATATCAAAGTCGATCTAGACGAAATCAGTCTGAACATGAATCGCGATCAGGTAGGATTTCTTTTGAAGAAAATGATAATCATTCAATTTTTTGTAGTATTCGGATATACTTGATTTACTGGAATTGCAAGATTATCTAAGCATTCAGTCGAAATATATAAAATATCATAGAAAGCAAGAACCTGAAGAGAAACCAAACGTGAAAAAGTATGAATGACTAATGTTTTCCAATGATTCATCATGAAGTACATATTTTTCAGGTGGAAATTTGCGTATGAAGCAATTGTGAATGAAGAAGTTCGGCCAAGATTTGAATGTTACAAATGGGAAAATATCAAAGCACATCTAGACCGCTGTCGGGAGTATCGTACAATTCATTTACAAGAACTAACTGGAAAATTAACCAATGAACAAAAGCAGCGCGCAGAAGTAAATAAAAATTGAGTTGAAATTCAACAACACATGAATCCTTCTCGTAGGAACTGGAAAAGAAACTTGATGTGTTTAATTTAACATACATTCGTCGGAGTGCAGAAATCGAAGCGAGAAAGAAGAAAGAACAGGAACCGAAAACATGGTGGGGAAGTGTATCGAATTGGTGGGGTGGAAATAAACCACACGACGATCCAGGTGAGATCTTTAGAGTTTCAATAAATTTTCAACTTCTCTTTCGTCAATTTAGAATTAGATTTGGAAAAAGTCATGTCACCAGAAGAGAAAAACAAATTATTCGAAGCGATTGGTTATGCTGGAGAAGATACATCCACATCAACGTATCCTGAAGAAGTTTGTTCATTTGATTTCTCCTGTAAATACGACTACTTTCTCATGTTTCTTTCAGTACGTGGATATCGATTTGGCTATTCGATTAA